AGCATTGTATTCTGAACTCCTGCAGAAGATAAGGCCAGATTCAAGGTATTTCTTGCTTTTCCCATAAAATCATAGATTTCTAGACCCAGGGTTCCTGGATGGGCAGCGGTGGGAAGCAGGAAAAGGGCAGGAGTTGCTCTTGCCACCAAGGTTATGAGGTTGACAACAGTCCAAACCCACACACTCTGAGACCACTGGCAGTCTCTCTCTCTCTCTCTTTTTTTTTTTTTTTAGAGACAAGTCTTACTCTGTCACCCTTGGTAGAGTGCTGTAACGTCACAGCTCACAGCAACCTCTGGCTCTTGGGCTTAGGCGATTCTCCTGCCTCAGCCTCCCAGGTAGCTGGGACTACAGGTGCTCACCACAACACCCAGCTATTTTTTTGTTGCAGTTTGGACGGGGCTGGGTTCAAACCTGCCGCCCTCAGTATATGGGGCCAGCGTCCTACTCACTGAGCCACAGGCGCCACCCTCACTGGCCGTCTCTTGTGAACAAACTCATCTCATGTCCTCCTCAGGGACTTTCCCTGAAGTAAGCTCACAACAGAGTCAAACTGAAGAGCTTCCTCCTGCCTTGCAAGGGAATGATCCACTACCACAAGTTGCTGGTTCTTGCTGTCCACTTACACCCTGATCTCAGAGAGGGAGCCAGACATCAGGGCAGGAGGTTTGTGTGTGTGCAGAGGGAGGGACACCACGTCAAACCCCTGCTCCATGAGAGGGCCTGACTACCAAGCTCCACACGGCACAGGGCTGCACACACTGAGGCAACCACGTTCTCCACATCACCAACGGGAGGCAAGATACAAGGTACAGAATGGAAGCCAACTCTACTCACAGTCTGGTGAGCTTCGGATTGCTCTGGAAAAGCATTTCTGGAAGGACTTGGAGCTTATTCTTGTTCAGGCGCCTAAAGAGGGGGAAAGAAGGAAAGGAGGTCAAGAGGACATTAAATCAAATCAAATGTATTCAGATGCCCCTTAATCAATCATCAATCAATCAGTGGGTATGAGGACACTCGCTAGATCACACAGCATGGATGCTCAACACGTGTGAGGCATTTTCCATCTTGGTGGAATGAAAGACAAAGGTCAGTCACAAGCAAAATACACTTGTGCACGGCACTGCCATTCCTCGGCATGAGCCTTAAACGAAGACCACTAATTAATGACCACACGCTTTCCTGCACACCCCAGACAAGACTCTGGAACTTTTCTTGCCATGAGCTCCAGGTAGCTCTTACCAAGTGATGGAAGTTGGCATAAAAAATAGGCTCCTAAAATATAAATAAAATTTGGAGAAGGTATTTCAGATCTCAAATTGGTGGTGGTAGGTAGCAGCAAATAGGAATTGCTATAGGAATGGAGAGAAGGGCACAGCAGGTTACCATGGGTTAAGGGACCAAATGGAACCCCAGACATCCCAGCTCTTTGGACCAAAGCAGGGCTTCTCTGTGACTTTCATGGGTCTTTGACATTTTTACCTTTGTGGCCTGTTTTCTCCATAAAAAAAATTTTAAGTATCATATTTTACAACAGTGTTGGTATAAAAACAAATATATTAAAGTTATATAACGTTTCCACCTAAATGTTCATTTTGTCTTTAATTTTAAGCTAGTACATCCTGTTTGGAAAGAAGTTTGGAGAACACTCAGGGATCTAAAAATTGACCTGCCGTTGGATCCTGCAATTCTCTACTGGCAGTATATCGAAAAGACCAAGAATCACTTTGCAAAAAAGATATTTGCACCAGATTATTCATCGCAGCTCAATCAGTAATAGCCAAGTCACGGAAGAAGCCCAAGTGCCCATTGACCCATGAATGGATTAATAAATTGTGGTATATATATACCATGGAATACTATGCAGCCTTAAAAAAGATGAAGCCTTTACCTCTTTTACGTTTACATGGAGGGATCTCAAATATATTCTCCTGAGTAAAATGTCTCAAGAGTGGAGGAAGAAGTATCCAATGTACTCTGTACTTCTATGAAACCTACTTATATTTACTCACACTTTCTTATGAAAGATAGAACACAACTATAACCCAGGATGAAGGAGGGAAATGGAGTGGGAAGGGAGGGGAGGGAGGAGGTTTGGCAGAGGGAGGGTAAAGGGCGGGACCACACCTGTGGAGCATATGACAAGGGTACGGGTTGAATCTGTGAAATGTAGAGCATAGATGTTTTGGCACAGAGATCAAGTACATGAGGTGAAAGCTATGTTGATTAGTTTAATGTAACCATGTCGGATCGTATAAAAAAAAATCAAAATCAGCACACTGTACCCCACATATGCATAAATGTATTCATGATCTATGTGTATTTGACTTAATAAGAAAAAAAGGAATTAAAATATTTTCCTAGGCTCCTAACAGTATCAGGGGTCCTCAGCACTGTCTCCACTGGGCCTGGTAGAGAAATCAGCCCTGGGTCAGGGACCAGGGTCTGGGCATGAGGTATGACTTAAGGCAGAGAGCTTGGCCTAGTAGAGATGGGGTATGTCAGAGGGTGGCAACAGAGCCAATCAGAATCTCTCCTAAATGCCTGCGGAAAAGGCCATCAGAGGTTTCAAGGGCCACTGAGCCATTCTCATGGTCTTCACAAAGGCTACTTTCTTGGGAGTATTAGGCCAAGAGGGGCCCCTGAACATGCCAGCCCGGTGGCCTCTGTCCTTGCAACTTGACACAGCCTCACATGGGTCGAGGGAAACTACCCAAGCCACTGTTAAAGCAGATACCTCACAGTGCCCAGGATCTTTGAGAGTCAGGGTAGTTCATAGCCCTGATGAATTTTTCTACCTAGAATGAATCTTATCCACGTTTGTCCCTTTACATGAGGTAACTATAGAATCCCCATATGAAATATAAGAAAGCTAAGGGGAAAAGATGTGAGGTTCTCTCCAGCTTCTGGCCCCGAAGCACAATCCTTCACACACCCCCCACCACCAAGCAAACATGGTTCCCTATTTGGGATTTCATTTCATCTAAGTATATGGACAAAAACTTGAGAGAAACAGGGGATTAGAGGGAGAGCAGATGAGATGGAGCATGTAAAAAAGGAGCACTGTAGGACATCAGAAAGTGGGGCACTCGGCCCCAGCGGGCCAAGCCGTGGGTGGGCAGGTGTGGGTCAGAACAGCGCCTGTGAAAATTCAAGATTAGAAAGAGACAAGAAGGCTGGAAGCTGGGTGAGACAAACTCCTCTGTGGTGGCCTTCTGCCTATATCAGTGTTCGTTTTTGTCTTTTTTTAAATGTTTTACAATTGAGGTAAAACCACATAAAATTTACTATCTTAACAATTCGTAACTTAGTTCAGTAGTGCTGAGTCTATTCACATTCCTGAGCAACTCATCTCCAGACTTTCTAAATCTGCAAAACTGGAACTCCATACCCCTTAAAGAACAGTTCCCCATTTCCCTTCTCCCTGCCCCCAGCAGCCACTGTCCTACTTTCTGTCTCTGTATATTTGACTAGCATTCTTTTGGCACTGCTGGTGTCCACTGTGTGTGTGTGTGCGCATACCTGTCACCAAAGTGGAAAAAAACGGGCTCAGTGAAGAGGAAGATGAGGCAGAATCTGCTCACTGTTTCAAGCAGTTGCCATGTAGTCAGTGGTAGCCCGGCCTGGAGAAGGTGTGGTGTTGTGACTTTGGGGTCAGGTGAGGCAGGGCTCAGTCACTCTTTCACTGGCTCTGTCACTCTTTCACTGCAGGATCTCCAGCAAATTACTATCCCTCTGAGCCTCAGTTTTCCATGTGCAAAATAACCTTACTTCTTTGGGTTACAATGAGTCCTGAAGAACATAGTGTATATGTAAGTGTATTGATATACAAGGTAGACAGCCTGATCTCTCTGCACACCCTCCTATTCAGGTTAAAGCACAAAGGTGGGCTATTCCTCTGGCTCTTTATCCAGACGACTGAAGATGAAAGGATCCCAGAGGCAGCCCAGACAGGATAATGGCACCAAGCCCATCTCTGCATGGAGAATCAGCAGATAGGCAGGCTGAGACCTTTGGACTCCTGATTGGCAGTTAGATTAGGGAAGCTGGGTTGTTTGCCCTGTGGAGATGAAACTTACTCTCCTCCCCCTTTCTAAATGCATTATTAGCCATTGTTGACAATGTATTACCCTCTGTTCCCGATTAGCCAGCCATTACTGTTTTACACAGCCTTCTGTGGGGCTTGGGATTCTTTTTAAATGCTACTTTTGAGTTTTGACACCTTTGCATTTTTTCACAAATGCTTTGTTTTAGAGATCAATAAAAGGTTTCTGAGGAGTTGGGATAATGATGCACTGCCTCAAGCGGCCACCAGGCACGTGAGACAGTGTATGCCTCTCCAGGCTACCCAGACTTCATACATTAACTTGATGTGAAGTCTCCTCCTTCCTTCAGTGCCATCTCCCTTGTTGTCCCCCAGCCTGAGTCAGGGTCCCCCCCCAGAACCCTGAGACATTGAGAGCAGAGTAATGGTAATAAAATGGCACCCTTGGAGTCCTGCTTGCATGTACAAAAGTGAGCTCCATGTGGTGCTCAAGGCAGGAGTCATTATTAACCCTGTCTTACAGATCAGGCATCTAAAGCCTGCGAAGGTCAAGGACATCCCCAAGGCCACAGCATTAGGAAGTAGTAATGGCAGGATTAGAACCCAGTCTGATTCCAGACATCTGGGTTCTAAACTACTGTGTTATTTGGGAAGCCATTCAATAAATGATAGCTCCTTCCCTTTTCCCTACTTCTTTTCATCCAGGATCGCCTCCTCCACCCCAATCCAGACAATGATCCATGCAGGGTACACTGCCCTCCCTGAAAAGCTCTCTAAGAGGCCCCCAAGGCAAGACCCTGGTCTCTATGTGAGTCTTTCTGGAACCACCCCGTACTGTCACAGCTGTGCAAAGCCTTGTAAGAGTTATAGCCAAACAACGGAGTCTCCAGTTTTGGCAAAATCCTAAAATCTGACCCGCTACTGCCTGCAGTGAGTAAGGCATTTAGTCTGCTAAAAGCCCAAAGCCAGCACTCAAGCTAAAATTAAATCCAGCCTGGCTCTGAGGGAAGGGAAAGGAAGGAATCATTTTCAGTTCTTTGCCGGTGTTTGTGGCTGGACAAAAATAAAAATGCAACCAAATTTAGCCAATTGTGCTCTGCCCACTGCTTCATAAACTCTGAGTGAGGATCCTGGAGCTGCTGGGTTGGGCTCTGCTCCCCAAAGCTTCAGGGCCTTTCCAATTCAGCTTCAGTGGGTAGCCTGCTGGTTCTTTATATTAGAAGGAGCTAGATATTAATACTATATTTTCAGGTCATTCCATTTATTCATGCCTGTGTAGTGAGCAGCTGGCCTGAAAGGTCTTCCTCAAAAAACTGATGAAGGCTCCAAGCTGCATGAGGTGCCCTTCCCATGGGGCTGAGACAGAAGCAGCCCCAGAACAGAAAATAAGTAGAGAGGTGCTGTTCTGCTGATGCAGGAACAGGTAAGTGCCGGGTTGCAGACAGTGGCCGTCGGCTATGCCATCTGCTGCTTCATTCTGGTCCCAGAGGTGGAAACCTCCTGCTATAGTTCAAGTTGGAAGTAAAACCACGATTCCTTTTTTTTTTGAGACAGAGC